TCCTTCCTTCCCTCCCTCTCTCTCTCTCTTTCTTTCTTTTTATTTTTTAAAATTTTCTCAGACAGTATCACTCTGTCACCCAGGCTGGAGTGCAATGGTGTGATCTCGGCTCACTGCAGCCTCTGCCTCCTGGGGTCAGGCGATTCTCTTGCCTCAGCCTCCCGAGTAGGATTCTGGGATTACAGAAACCTGCCACCACGCCAGCCTAATTTTTGTATTTTTAGTAGAGACAGGGTTTCACCATATTGGCCAGGCTGGTCTCAAACTCCTGGCCTCAAGTGATCCACCCTCCTCGGCCTCCCAAAGTACTGGGGTTACAGGTATGAGCCACCACAGTCAGCCTGGACAATCCTATTTCTAAGACGGTGATCCACTCATGCTGAATCGGATAACACAGTAAGCTTGGGGCTCACAGTGGGCCCTCAAACAATGGTCATTGCTCTGATACTTAGAATGCTAATGTTGCTTGGGTTCTCTGATACTGTGACAACCCATCTGTGATCAAATCCTGGGGGACCTCTTCAGCAGGAGAGCAAATAGGTGTTGAAGGAAGAGTCAGAGAATCTGGATTTCACCAGGTGGCATTCATTTGGCCTGAATGAATTCACTTTTTTTTTTTTTTGAGATGGAGTCTAACTCTTTCACCCAGGCTGGAGTCTAACTCTTTCACCCAGGCTGGAGTACATAGACATGAACATATCTCACTACAGCCTCTCTCTCCTGACTCAGGTGATTCTCCCACCTCAGCCTCCCTGGTAGGTGGGACTACAGGCACGTGCCACCATGCTCGGCTAATTTTTGTATTTTTTATAGGGCTGAGGTTTTGCCGTGTTGCCTAGGCTGGTCACAAACTCCTGGGCTCAAATGATCCTTGCACCTCAGCCTCCCAAAGTGTTGGGATTATAGGCGAGAGCCATTGCACCCAGCTCACAGTCACATTTTACGTGCCTCAGTTAAATAGTCCCCCAAACTTGAAGAACTAGGCTTTTAAACTAGGCTTTTAAAGATGTTTGAAAGAGGTGCATCCTGGGTAACCTCCCCCACACCTCAGGACGGAGGAGGCTTCTAAGGGAGGAGGTCACCTCCACCCTTCCTAGACAGGACAGACACAGGGGTGTTTGTTTCACATAGGAGATGACAGCACAAATTACTGTTTTTTCTGTTAAACAAATTTCTGAAACATGTTAGTGCCTTGCCTCACTGTTGCCTGAAAGGGTGGAGGGCAGAGAATAAACCGCAAATTGCTAGTTTAATTTTAAATTTAATGTGAAATCTGGAATATCTAAAATCTTTGTGACAACAAATTAAATGACAAATGAACTTGAAAATAAATGCAGAAAGATCAAGAGTTAAAAAAAATTCAGTTAATCCACTGTCTATCTTGTGGCTCTCTTTTCTAAGTTAACTGAAAAATATTTAATCACATGCCTTTAATTAAAGCTCTGTACCCATGGAGAAGCACAAGTAGAGTTTGTTTCACTTAGGCAAGAATGTCCAATGGTTCAGTTGCTAGAAAATTGATATTTAATAACATCCAGCAGATGTTAACATTCTAGGAGAGACTCCCATTTTGTTAAAAGTTATGGGGAAAAAACTGAACCTTACTGAGCCTTCAGTATCTTTTCTCCTCCTCTTCCTCCTCCTCCCTCCTCTTCCTCCTCCTCCTCTTCTTCTTCTCCCCCACTCCCTTCTTTAGTTTTCATCTCTTTCTTTAGCTTTCATCTTTCACGGTAGTTATTACTGGTGTATTAACTTAGCCTGAGCATAGTCAACATAATTGTCTGGATGGGATGGACACTGAGATCCATTTGTGAGAAACGCTGACTAATTTCATTAACTACCCCTAAACAAACCTGCAGATGTCATATGATAAACACTATGTGATTTACAATAGAAGACCAGAGCCAAGTCCCTGTGTCATGGGAGAAGGCTCCATGCTCGGCTGACAACCAGGGATCCTGCTTCTAACCCAATTCTTCTGGGAATAATCTATGTAATCCAGGTGAGGTCATTCACCCCTCTGGGCCTCAGTGTGCTTCTCTAGACCTTCAGTGGGTTGACTAGATGGCTAATAATATGTAGCTACTATTTGGTGAGCCTTGGAGCTCTGTACATGGCCAGATAGATACCCTGAAGTCCAATGTGGTCTACATACAGCACAGGCTCCAGGGCAAGACTAGCTTCATTCACACTGACTCTTAGGTAAGTGTGCTCACTGCCCCATTCCTCAGCTTCATGTCTATAAAATGGGAATGATCGTCTGGGTGCAGTGGCTGACACCTGTAATCCCAGCACTTTGGGAGGCCAAGACGGGTGAATCGCCTGAGGTTGGGAGTTCGAAACCAGCCTGACCAACATGGAGAAACTCCAGCTCTACTAAAAATACAAAATTAGGCTGGGCGTGGTGGCTTATGCCTGTAATCCCAGCACTTTGGGAGGCTGAGGGTGGCGGATCATGAGGTCAGGAGTGTGAGACCAGCCTGACCAACATGTTAAAACCCTGTCTCTACTAAAAATACAAAAATTAGCTGGCCGTGGTGGCGTGCCTGTATTCCCAGCTACTCAGGAGGCTGAGGCAGGAGAAGCACTTGAGCCCAGGAGGCGGAGGTTGCAGTGAGCCAAGATCACATCATTTGTGGTGGCACATGCATCACCTCCAGCTACTCTGGAGGCTGAGTCAGGAGAATTGCTTGAACCCGGGAGGCGGAGGTTGCAGTGAGTCGAGATCATGCCATTGTACTCCAGCCTGGGCAACAAGAGCTAAAATTCCATCTAAAAAAAAAAAAAAAGAGAGAGAGAAAACATACTCCAGGCTTGTCTTGTATTTTCCCTTCCTCCGCCCTGAATCAGCCATTTCTCTGAAGAGGCTTGGTTCCTTTTAATGGAGAAAGGTATTTAGCAGCTAGGTGTGCTCATTGCTATTGGGGTATTGCATCTCCCAAGAGTGCTTACTGGACAGAACTAGCCAATATAACAGTAGGTGTATCACAAACTTAATGGCTTAAAACAGCACAAATTTGTCATCTTCTAGTTCTGAAGGTTAGAAGCCCTAAAATCAAGGTGTTAGCAGGGCTGTTCCTTCTGGAGACTCTAGAGGCATCCCTTCCCTTCATTGTTCCAGCTTCTAGAAGCTGCCTGCCTTCCTTAGCTTGTGGTCCCTTCCTCCATTTTCAGCGCTAACAGCATAGTATTCTCAAATTAACATCTGTCTCTTTCACTTCCGCTTCTGTTGTCTTGTCTCCTTCTCTGAATCTGATCCTCCTCCCTCCCTGGTTTTTTTTTTTTTGTTTTTTTTTTTGTTTTTTTTTTTTTGAGACAGGGTGTCACTCCCATTGCCCAGGTTGTAGTGCAGTGGTCCAATCACAGCAGCCGCCACCTCCCAGGCTCAGGTGATCCTCCCAGCTCATCTTCTCTAGTAGCTGGGACTACAGGTGTGCGCCACCATGCCAGGCTAATTTTTGTATTTTTAGTAGAGATGGGGTTTCACCGAATTGTCCAGAATGGTCTCAAACTCCTGGGCTCAAGTGATTGTCCCACCTCAGGCTCCTGAAGTGCCAGGTTTATAGATGTGAGGCACAGTGCCCAGCCTCTGCCTCCCTCTTATAAGGACTCTTGTAAATATATTGGACCCACCCAGATAAACCAGAATAACCTTATCTTAAGGTTCTTGACTTAATCTCACCTGTGAAGTCCGTTTTGCCATGTAAGGTAACATATTCACAGGTTTTCAAAATTAGGATGCAGGCATCTTTGGGGGTCTCTTATTCTACCTTCTACAATATGTAGGTAAGTACGCATGCACACATTTCTATATTTATTCCTATATCTATATAAATATATTGAAGATCATAATATCATTTAGATACTTCCAATTTCAACTGGACAACTAAGGGTTCATTCCAGGTTTCTGTTTCAATATTTGTGACTCCCTTCTCCAACAGTGAGAAACCTGGCTTTCATTATCCTTAATAAGTTACTTATTTGACTAATCTTCTCTGTGTAACTACTGTTGTATTCCCCTTCTGTTCTCTTATCCAGGGAAAGTCCTCCCACTCTGCCTGGACTCTGAAACTTTATACCCAGCCACCCTTCCATGGGGATGTCCACTCCACTGCCACCCCAAGCCAGGCTGCACCTGCAGGAACCCTGTCCCACCTGTTCAGGCTCTGAGCCCACACAGCAAGCAGCCCTCCTGTGCAGACACTTTTCTCACCCTGCTGGGGCTCCAGCACCCAGCTCTGTACCACGGTGGCTTCCCCCATTAGTCACAGATGTTATCCTGCTCTGCCCCACCTAAAGGATTTTGCACCAAATTGTTGACAGAGGGAAGGGAAGAAAATCCCAAATGACATATTTTTGGGAGCGAGAAACGGGCACTGAATCTTGATCCAAATGGGTGGGAAATGTGGAATGCTGAGCAGGGAGAGGCAGGGAGATGAAGTTAGTACACAGTAGAGGGCTTGAGGCTTGAAGAATACCAGCTATAGGAGTGGGTCCCTGTTCTTGGGCCTGTTTGCGTATCTGAGGACTCGACTCCTATTTCTCTGGGCTGAGAATGCTGCCACCAGCCTGGAGCCTCATCGAACCACTTTTTATTTAAAAAAACCACCCGTTGGCTCCTGATGTTTTTTATGCTGATTAAGAACACTGACTTGGCTAAATGAACAAGGGGGCTGATTGTTGCTCTGTCTCTTGAAGCAGGAGAAGCTTTTGATCAAGTGGAGTGGGAGTTTATGTTTGAGGTACTTTAAAAAGTGAAATCTGGAGATAAGCGTATGAACTGAATTTGAACTTTATTCCAAGCCCATTGAACAGAAATGTTTCACATCCCTTTAATCTGAAAAAAGCCCACTGCAATTGCCCTTTTAATCCCTTATTTTTCTTTAATATAAAGCTCCTTCTCAAATTGCTTACTATTTACGTACTGAGAAGGGCACTTCAAAAATAAACTTAAGTTGAAAGATGTTTGGATTTTTTTCTTTCTTCAGGGATAGGAAACATGGCTCTGGTGACTTCTTTCTCCACCCTGGCACCCAGAGCAAGGATGCTGCTCATTAGTGACTAAGTGGGACCAGTGTCTCAGGTGGCAATCCGGGAGCAAGCTCAGCTTCACACTGGGGCACTGTGGGTTGATTGCACAGAAAACAGAAGCTTGTGGGTTCTAATCTCGGTTCCTCCATTGGCTTCTGGATGGCTTTAGGTGAGTCATTTAATTTCCACGTTTGGTTTGCCCCATCTGCCACATGGAGCTAATGATACACCTCATCCACTTATTTCATAGGAATGTTGTAAGCGCTGATTAATGTAGAGGGCAGCCAAACATTGCTTATGTATGATGAGCTAAGAAAAGTAAGATCATGAGCTCAGAAACCTTTTCAAATTAGGGGTGATCTTTTCCTTTAGGAATGAGCTATGCTTATGATGCTGGGGTTTTTTTTGTTTTGTTTTGTTTCTCCTGAGTTGGAGTTTCACTCTTGTTGCCCAGGCTGGAGTGCAATGGCACGATCTTGACTCACTGCAACCTCCGCCTCCCAGGTTCAAGTGATTCCCCTGCCTCAGCTTCCTGAGTAGCTGGGATTACAGACATGCTACCATGGCCAGCTTATTTTTGTATTTTTAGTAGAGATGAGGTTTTGCCATGTTGGCTAGGCAGGTCTCGAACTCCTGACCTGGGGTGACCTGCCTGCCTCTGCCTTCCAAAGTGCTAGGATTATAGGCTTGAGCCACTGCACCTGGGCTTTCTTGTCTTTTTTGTTTGTTTGTTTTTGCACTCTGTCACCCAAGCTGCAGTGCAGTGGTGCGATCTTGGCTCACTGCAACCTCCACCTCCTGGGTTCAAGTGATTCTCCTGCCTCAGCTTCTTTAGTAGCTGGGATTACAGGCATGCACCACCACACCCGGCTAATTTTTATATTTTTAGTAGAGACAGGGTATGCCATATTGGCAAGGCTGGCCTTGAACTCTTGGCTTTAAGTGATCTGCCCTCCTAGGCCTCCCAAAATGCTGGAATTACAGGTGAGCCACTGTGACCGACCGTGGTATTTATTTTTTATTTTTTTACCATTTGTCTGTCTTATTAATTCAACTCATGCTATTATTAATTATATACATAATATGTTTGGCTCAACATGCATGACATCATTCATTTCAACTTTTTTTTGTTTCCTTCCTATATGCCTGACATTCTCTGTATTAGAATTAAAAACCTAAGTGAAAACCAAATTATAGGAAGGTCATAAAATGGGAAATATTTATGAGCAATTTCATGCTTATATTTCTTTTGTTAACTCTGAAGATTTATTTGTTTGAGCATACACTTTTTTTTTTTCTTGAGACAAAGTCTCACTTTGTCTCCCAGGCCTGAGTGCAGTGGCACAATCTCGGCTCAGTGCAACCTCCACCTCCTGGGTTCACATGATTCTCATGTCTCACCCTCCCTAGTAGCTAGGATTACAGGTGCCTGCCACTATGCTCGACTAATTTTTGTATTTTTAGTAAACACGGGTTTCACCATGCTGACCAGGCTGGTCTCAACCTCCTGACCTCAGGTGATCCATCTGCCTGGGATTCCCACAGTGCTGGGATTACAGGCATGAGCCATTGTACCTGGCCAGTTTTATGATGTTAAAAAAAAGAAGGTGGGTTCGGTGGCTCACACCTGTAATACTAGCACTTTGGGAAGCTGAGGCAGGCAGATCACCTGAGGTCAGGAGTTCAAAACCAGCCTGGCCAACATGGGGAAACCCAGTCTCTACTAAAAATACAAAAAAATTAACCAGGCATGGTGGCATATGCCTGTAATCCCAGTTACATGGGAGACTGAGGCACAAGAATTGCTTGAAACTGGAAGGCGGAGGCTGCAGTGAGCTATCCCACCACTGCACTCCAGCCTGGGTGACAGAGTGAGACTCTGTCTCAAGAAAAAAAAAAAAAATTAAACTTATCTGAGAGAAGCTGAGCTGTAGTTTCCTGAGTATTGATGAAGGAGAAATCTTAGTTTTTGAAACGAAGTGCTCCCCGAAGCCAGTTTCTTCTAGAATGACAGTCCTCTTAAGGACATCATCTTCTACTTAATAAATTTCCATATAGCTGTTCCTTGCTAAAAAGGACATTAACCTAAGTTAGGCTTGCCCTTTTACAGTGCCAAGCACATAGTAAAAATGAACACAATCAGTATATTTTTAATATAGGGAAGTTTAGCCAGATTGCACATCAACTGAAAACTAAAAATGATTATTTTGTACTCCTGAAAAACTCTCATTTATGTGCACGTGGAAATAACTGCTCTTCACAGCATCCTCCTACCCCATGCAGGTGGTCACTGCATTCAATGGCACTGTCTCTGAACACACTGCAGCAGGAAAGCTTCATGCTTTTATATCAACCAGGGCTGGGCTGACATCTAAGTTCAAAATGCCAAAGGAAAAGTAAAAAACACACAATAATACAACACAGAGAGGGAAATAAGGGCTTGGCAACTTTGTTTCTAGTTGTTGGCTTTGGCTCTGAGCAGGGCTACTGGTTGGCGGTTGTAGGGAAACTTTTGGACTATTTTCCACAGACTGAACAGGCCACATGAAATTTCTATTATTACTTCAATCTTGGCTGACTCTAGTAAAACTGACTGCCTTATAGCCCTTGCTCTGGAAGCATGTCATTTCTAAGGATAGTTTAGTTCCTGAGGACACCCCAGAGCCTGTTTTAGGACCATTGCTGTTTAGAGACGAAATCACCCCGTAAGGTCTTCATATTTTCCTGTAGCTACTGTTTTCAGGGCATTCAAGACCAATCTGCTTGGCCGGGTGAGATGGCTCACACCTGTAATCCTAGCACTTTGGGAGGCCAAGATGGGTGGATCACCTGAGGTCAGGAGTTCAAGACCAGCCTGGCCAACATGGTGAAATCCCAACTTAAAAAAAAAAAAAAAGAAAACCTGCAAGAAAAGACCAACCTGCTTTTCCTATTCTAAAACTGTCATAACTATCTATGCCAAAATCAAAGACAATAAGCCCTTAAGTCAGAAACTAGATACAGTTTTACAGAATTGGAACATATAGGAGTAGCACCTTGA